CTTTAGCCTTTTAAATGTATTAAGAGCTGCCAGGCTCTTAATACATTTAAAAGGCTAAAGCACAGCCAGGGGTAGTGGGGACTAAGGCTGTGTCTGGACTACATGCCTCTGTCGGCAGAGGCATGTAGATTAGACACATAGGCAAAGGGAAATGAAGCCGCGATTTAAATGATCGCGGCTTCATTTCCCTTTTCCAAAACAACAAATCTACATGGCTCCATCGACGGAGCCATGTAGTCTAGACGTACCCTAAGCGTGAGCCGGGAATCAGCTGTCCCAGCTCTCACTCACTCCCCCGCTACACCTCAGTTTCCCCTGCCCCTCTGTAGAGAGTGAGACAGTGCTGGGGGAACCGGCTTTTAAGAAAGCGGCAGCAAGGAGGGAGGGGGAAGTGACCAGTCGCGTCACCGCTCGACTATCCGATAAGCTTCTGCTTATTGACTAGTTGCTTACATCCCTATATGACGGTCTGGCACAGAGAGACCATCAGCCCTTACAGCACTGAAAACTGAGGTCCGAGGAGCTCGTCCATTCCCTCTCCTCAAGGGATATAAGTGACGACACAAACAAAAGGGAGAAGGCCTCGGCGGAGAGCAATTCTCAGAGCTGGATTTGTGCAAGGCCGGATACAAAGGCCAGTGAAGTCCCTGGAAAGTCTCCCATTTGTTTCATCAGGCTTTGGATGAAAACCTCGGAGCTCACCCAGTGTCTAGAGCAGCAGTTCTCAAACGATGGGATAGTGAGTCGTAACCCCCTTTGAACGGGGTTGGGTGACTTAGACTTGCTGACACCCAGGCCCCACTGCCCAGAGCTGAAGCTGAGGACATGGGTGGCAGGTCTCAGGTTGCAGGTCCCTGGCCTGAGGCTGAAGCCCTTGAGCTTCAGCTTTGCCCCACTCTGCCGCCACCCAGAGTGCTGGGGCTAAGGTTTTGCCCCCACCTCCACCCTCACCCGAGGCACTGGGATTTGGGGAGCCCCGGGCTTCAGTCCCCCACCGTGGGGTCGTGAAGTACCTTTTGTTGTCAGAGGGGGCTGTGGTGCAATGACGTTTGAGAACCCCTGGTCTAGAGAGCTGGTCGCACTTAATAGAACTGAAAACCTTGAGCAGGTCCAGTTTAACTCTGGCCTACTGCATGTCAAGCTGACACTGGAGCGGGGAAGAGAAACATTTCCTTTGGAAATACAATCACATGTTTCCACACGCCACGTTTCAGAGCCTTCTAACAGACAAAAGTTATAAGCAGTGACTGGGGCTTCAAGTTCGGACTGAGAAACAAGGGCATGACATTTCCTTCTGCCAGTGTCCTGCCTCCCTCACAGGAAAAAAAAAATATACAGAGTTAGGGCTTCTTCAGAGAGCGTCACGCCCAGCTAGATCCAAACTGCATCAGGGAGAATTGTATAAGCAACATGTATTCTGGCTGAGTATGTCTGCTAACTGTATCAGCCATCTCCCCGGATCCTTTCCTCCAGTCCTGCAGACCTCCAGCTGCCCACAGACAGTTCCACTTACTGCCAATATGGGATGGATTTTATGATTGAATGTAGTCTGTAATAATGCATCATGACCTCAGAGCATTCACTACGTTGCTCAACCACCCTATCTGTAGAAACTGCCTGGGAGACTCTGACAATGCTCTGGAGTACTAGAACGGCGGCAGCAGCCAACACCACTTCTGAGACTTTTCTTCAAATAATACCCCTCTCCCCGCCATAAAGGCAGGAATTATTCATGGGACACTGCCCCCAGAATGCTAAAAGCTTTTGCTTGCACGCAAACCTGAGAAGTGTGATCTGAACTCCCTGACACTCCACCTTCAAATATTATTCTAGGCACTGCT